TCAGCAGTTCTGGGCTTTGCCCTCTCACCCCTCACTGCTCCTTCCCTGGATTGCTTCCTACCACACCTTGTTCCCTTTCTCTCTCTGGGTGTACCAGCCCCAAACCCGCTTCCTTTTTCCCAGGGAGTGACTGCTGCCTGCATTCTGAAGCCTTCCCCATCAGTGCCCATCTCTTGCCAGCTACCTGTTTCATACAGGCCCCACCTGTTCCTTCACAGCTGAACCTGTTTCTAATTAGTTCCCTGCCCTCCGGCTCTTCCTACAGGTGCAGCCTGTGGAGTTGATTGGCCTGCGTGGCCACCTTAACCCCTTTCAGTCCTGTGTGGGGTGGTCACCGCATCCCACAATTCTTACAATCACTCCAGTAATCTTGCCCCCAAATTTCCTTTTCCCTTACAGCACAGAAAGCCAGCTCCTCGTTCCTTATTTTGGGTCTTGGGGACTTCCGTGGTCCTCCAGCACCATAAAAATGTACTAATGCAAGCTAGACAGATGTTGATACTCTAAAGTTAGCTTGTCTAACCTGGTCCTTTGACTCCAGACACCCACACAATCCCTGTAGAGCCAAAGAGAATAGTCTTTAAAATTGTTTTGAAATTCCATCACTCCCATGGGAGCAAGAGAATCACACACAGGTATCCATGTTCATGAATAGTGCACAACAGTCGGGAGATCAAAGCAGGTGGTTTGTGAGAGATGCTTAGAATGTGGATAAGAACTTTACACAAAACATGTAACAAAATTACAGGTGAGAGACCAATCAGCAGGACAGCATCTGCTCCTCCCATAGGTATAGTTCTTGGAGAAGGGCTGCAACGTGCCAGATAATCTTGGATTTATTAGTCTTTTGGCCATCCTGCAGAAATCCAAGACCAGCTGGAAGAGTCAAATGGAGTCCACCAGCATTTCCATTAGAATGGGGTTTTTACCCTCATAATTCCATGCCCTTTGGAAAGACCATGTGCTCTGCTAACTAGGTACAGTAACTCCTCACTTAAAGTCATCCCAGTTAACGTTTGATTGTTACATTGCTGATCAATTAGGGAACATGCTCTTTTAAAGTTGCGCAATGCTCCCTTATAATGTTGTTTGGCAGCCGCCTGCTTTGTCCACTGCTTGCAGGAAGAGCAGCCCGTTGGAGCTATCTGGTGGGGCCTTGGAACCAGGGTGGACCGACAGCCTCCCTATCAACTCCCCCCTCCTCTAAATTCCCTGTGCGGCAGCCGCCCAGCAGGCTATCAATTGCCAGGCAGTTCAACTGTCCCTCCCCCACTGCCCTGTGCTGTTCCTGCCCTCTGCCTTGGAGCTGCTCCCGGGACCTCCTGCTTGCTATGCAAGGAGGAGGGGGGGCACTAATGTCAGGGTGTCCCCTCCCCTCTTGCTCCCCGCTTACCTCATCTCCATAGAGTGGGGGGGTGGGAGGGACACGACAGGGCTCAGGACAGAGGGAGATTACCCACAGCAGCTGCTGTCTCAACTTGCTGATCTATTTAAAAAGGCAATGTACTTAGAGTGGGGTCAGCGAACTTAAAGGAGCAATGCACATCTCTCTCTCACATATACAGGTTGTGTGTCTCGGTCTCTGTCTGACATGCTGTCTCCCCTCCCTACATTTGTGCTGCCTTGTAGAGTGTGAGGCTACATTAACAACAATGTGCTAACCCTTGAGGGATCAGCTGTTCAGTTCATCATTTAGCAGTAAGGCATTCCCTGGGAAATGTGTGTGTGTGTGTGTGTGTGGTGGGTGTGTAAAAAAAATCCCTGGAACTTACCCCCCACATTTACATAAATTTTTATGGGGAAATTGGATTTGCTTAACATCATTTCGCTTAAAGTCGCATTTTTCAGGAACATAACTACAATGTTAAGT